CAAATAAGCTAAAATATTTAAATTTTAAAGCATCATTTAAAAAAATTATAATAAAAATAGTATAAACTCAAAATCTCATTTTAAGCTAGACATTCCAATAAAGTTCCTATACAAAGTTTCAGTTTTTCTTGTTTAAGTAAAAGACTCAAGGATTGGGGGAGGTGGGAAGAGGGTGAAAGACTACTTATAAAAGAGGGCTGACCATTTGTCAGAAATTATTTAAGAAGGATGAATTCATGCCTACCATAAGACTTCGTCTACTCTAGATGAAATCTGAGGTTCCTTCTAATTCTAGCACTATATGATTTCAGTCTTCTCTTCCCCTGCCCCCAATCTCTTCGTAGTTGTCCTGTTACTTATCAAAGCTGTTGCTGAGGATGCCTCCAACGGCCTTTTTAAGTCTTTCCAATCTCCTCTGGGGTAGAAAACCATCTTGCCATGTGTCAGATAAAAGTAAGAGCTTACAGGGAGAAGGAAGTACCTTTTTGCTTCAAAGTGTGGATGGTGGAAATCTCATTTCTAAGTTAAGTAGTCTATTACTGCACTCATTCCTGGTTTCTAAACACTAGTTCAAGTTTGACGTACACATGTTAGCACTTTAAGACTACTTAACCACAAGCCACAAGTATAAGAAGTTGACATACTGGACAACTATGTTTTAAAATACCGTAATAAATAAATCATGCCTTTATTACAAAGACTCATTTTGATTTTTTTTTTCAATGACAAGAATCATCATGGTAGGGGAAATAATTCAAGCATAAATTTTAATAAAACCATAAAACTTTCTAAAATACAAACATATTCAAAAAAAAGTTATGAACATCTATCAAAGGTTGGAAATCTTTCACAAATGTGGAAGAAAGTTTGATGACTCCTGACTTCTGAGCAAAAGTAGTAGCCAACAAAGGTACTATGGCTATGCAAAGGCACTAGTTACCTCCTTCCTCTTCCCATCTTTACCCTACTTAAAAAATATTTTTATCATGAAATGGGGTAATGAAAAAGCACTGACTTTGAGAAAGGACCCAGTATTTCCATATACTCCACTCCTCCTATTTAATACCTGTAAGACCTTGGGCAAGTCATGTATGTAATCACTCTCTAGACCTAAGTAAAATAAGGTTGGATTGGAGGACTTTTAAGGTCCCTTCTCCCAAAAATGTCTGATCCTGGAATCACCTGGGGATAGCATCTCCTTTTAAAAAGAAAATATCTGTACTAAACTCCAGTCTACTTCTTTATTCACACTTTAAGGTGAATTGCTAAGAAGAAAATATCTTCTAAAACCTAGTGAACACAGATAAATTCACTGGATGCTTTCAGGCAGAGCCAAGAGGGGTGAGGGAGAAAGCTCTAAGCAAGAGTGTTAAACTGTATAACCACCTAAACTCAGTCTCCTTTCTTCTTAAAGACTATCCCATTCCTGCTTCTAGTGCTGAAGGAGATAATCAGTTTAAAAGGCCTACTCCTAAAAACAAAAAATATCTTGGCAGTAAAAGTAAAGTGCTTCACCATTTAATTTGCTTAATTCCTAAGAGCCTGAAAATAATATCTAGAGTAGATACTTTAAAAATTACTATCTGACTTTTAGAGAATCATAGATACACATGGATTTAGAAAGACACTCTTGAGGCTATCAAATCTACCAAATAATGCTTCAACTATTTTAGGTATTTATCCTTTTTTAAAAACAGGAAGAAATCCAAGTAAAAAATGATTATGACCACCACCAATGACTACCATCACTCCCACTACCCCATCTACACATTAAATGGAAACACCTACACTAATGTTCTAGATTCCACAGTGGATTGAGCATGATGTCTGGAGTCAGGAAGACCACAGTTCAAATCTAGGTCTGTCATTTACTACCTGTATAACCCTATGCATGTCACTTACACTGTCTGCCTCAGTCTCCTCAAGTGTAAAATAGGGATGATAACAGCATCTACCTTACAGGGTTGTAGTGAAGATCAAATGAGATATTTGTCCAGTGCTTAGCACGGTACCAGACACATACTAGGCACTATATAAATGCTCATTCCCATCCCCTATTCCTAAGTCTCACTGTGTTCTAGAAGTAACTGCCAAGGGTTTGGTTCTTCCCAGGTAACAAAAGGAGAAAGCAAGCTCTGAAAAATCCTACAAAATCCTACAAAACTTTAAGTAGACCTAGTTGGTGATTGTTTCTACTTTTACTGTCTAAAGGCCAGCCAAGCCAAGTACAGAGTTGATAACTTTTTCAACTGTAGTAACTCTCCCCAACCATCAACTAAAATGTAGAAGAATTGCTTTGTGTCAGCTGAAAGAAAACTCCTCATGATGAAATAAAATCCTTCCAAAGTAATGAATATGAAGAAAGCTTATCATTCTTAAAATAAAAACTTAACTGATTCCTACCTACAGACTCTAATGATGTGGATTCCATCCAACCAGTATAGACAGGTAATCTACACTAATAAATATTCAATTGACTATGTCAGAAATAAAGCAGCTTAGGTTCTATTCTTTCACCACAGAGCACAAGGAACTCCAGAAATGTCAAAGATTACCTTTTACATTTCTAAATGCAGGAATCAAATGGGAAGAAAAGTACAACTGGAGAAGCAGACTACTTCATGGCATGGTGCAACAATTATCCTTTTCTGCCTACTATCTAGGGGCAACGTGGTAAAAGTGGATTGGGAACCTGCCCTGAAACCCAAGAAGACTTGGTTGGTCCTGCCACAAACATACTGGCTCTGTGATTTCACTTAACCTCAGGGCTGTAGGCAACTCTCTAAGACTCTAAGTTGTAGAAAAAGTGCCAATCAATCTCAGTAAAGAGAATCTTCTCAGTCAGGAGAGTTCCCTACACAAATAAAATCAATGATCTATTTCCTACCTCTACATTTCACTAAAGGCCTTTTACCTACTGCTTCTTCCAAGCCTGTCATATGATTCAAGATACTAATCAAAAAACAATACCATGAAATGCAAATAAACTAAAAAGTAATTTTTTTAACAAAAGATCACAATTTCATGGGGAAAGAAGGGGCAGCATGAAGAATCTTTTTTTTTTTATGTAAAACCAACAAGACAGTTTCCAAGGAAGTTTACAGTATTCCTCCTTTCAGAATCAGTCAACTGCACTAGAATTACTATCTTCCATGTTTTTAAAATTTTCGAACTTTACAACTTTGAATGTCTACTTCAGTTACATAAAATAATCATTCCTAAGATGTAAAATCAATATTTTTGCAAAAACTACATGTTTTAAATCCCAGAATTCCATCACTGAAAGATACTTTAGAGATTTAATTCTGGCCTACTCAATTTACAGATCAGGAGACTGAGCACAGAGGGTCCTGGAAAAAAAAAAAGTCCCAAAACTATGACTGGAATTTATGTTTGCCTTCCAATCCAGTGCTCTTTATACTAGCTTTATCTGTACTCATCACACCTGCATGGACAAAAGCATTAGCTACAAAAATAAACAGAATAAGCAAATTTTAATCAGATTTTATTTTAAAATAAATGGGGAGATTTATTTTAAAAATGGAGGAGTGCCCTCCTATGAGAATGTACTCCTATCTGATATTTGTAGGACTCACATTATTTTAAGCAAAAAAAAATCTCACAGTATTCGAGGGTTGTTAGATATCGCCCCAAGTTTTACAGCGTCTAAAATATTTACTGAACAAGCAAAAATGGCACTTCAGATGTTATGAATTTAAACAAGTTTACTTCTAAGAAACCAAAATGTCAATCAATAAGCATCTAGCTTCTGGAAACTAAAATCACTCAATGTGTTTTCTCAATTTTGTTAATATAGAAGTGGATAGAGAGGTGGTGTAGGAATTGGGAAGCCCTGTCTTCAAGTGTTGCTTCTAGCACACCAGATGCCAAACAAAGCAAGTCACTTTGCTTCAGAAAAGTTGTCTATTATTAAAAAGGGCAGAGTGCTCACCAAAATCTCCCCAGACACTGATGAAATTATAGGTGCGATCCTAAATACAAACCTAAAATTTTGTTTTAAACAAACTCTTCCCTTCAGTACTTTTAAATAACAAATGTCAAAATGCAGGCAAAAGATATAAGTAGGAATGTAAAAAGACGGCACACACAAGAACTTTTAAAAATATCTAAGCACTGAATCACTTCCTATCATTAAATGATATTTACCAAATAAATCCAGGAAAAACAGTACTCAAAAGACATTTGTGTTCCGCTCTTAGCATTTACAGGATCAAATATCCAAGATCTATTTGATACAACTTTTTTTTGGGGGGGGTTATGCTGACTTGTTACAAAGCACTTTACATGGTTATCCCATTGGATCCTCACAGCTTCATAAAGCAGTAATTTCAAGTACCTCTACTCTATCCTGTATCTTGTATGTACCTAATAATTAGTAATTACAGCATAAATGCATATTGTCTCCCCCAACAGAATGTGAGCTCCTCAAGAACAAACACTGCGTTTACCTTTCTTTGTATCCCCAGAGCTTGGCACACTGCCTGGCACACAGTAGGCATTAAAAAAAAAAAGGCTTGCTGACTAGAAAGTAGTAGTATCCTCATCTTACAGGTGAGGAAATTAAAGCTTGTTCAGCTTAATAACTTGCCCAAGGTCAGTTACGCTAGTAAGTGGACAAAGAATATTTTCTCACTCTTATCTTCCCAACTCCTCGTCCCCAACAGTCAACAAGCCTTTCTTAGTCACTGTGCTAAGCAAGCAAGACATGTCTCACACAGTGATGCTTCTATCACTTCCATTCCAGACTATACGGGGTGTCCCAAAAGTCTTAGTGTCGTTTTCAGGCATTGATAAAAACTTTTGGCCCAACCTATATATTCGCCTTCAAAGAAGAGATTCCACACTTATGTCGAATCCTCTTTTGGGGTACTAGTAAAATACTCAAATGAAAGCTCCCTCGGGGCAAACACCTGAAATAATAAAGTGAAGATGATTCTGACTCTATGGGGGAAGGGGTAGGGAGGAGGGAGGCAACTCACCGAAAACACTGCATTCTGAAGCCCAAAAGGTATCGGGGTCAGGCGGGCCAGTGCCACCACTTTGAGGCCGCTCCCCCCTTCCACGACTCGGATGACGGCGCTTAGCTTCTCGCTGCCCTCGATCTTGGAGGCTACCCAGTGGGCCAGCAGCTTCTTGCAGACCACGTGCGCGATGAAGGTGCCGATGAGGACCCCCACCACCATGAGCCCCATGCCCAAAACGAAGCCATACAAGTAGCCGGCGGCCACGTTCAGCACGATGTAGCCCCAGCCACAGGGGAAGGAGACTACGATGAAGCCCACGACGAAGAGGAGCACGCCCAGCAGGCTGTCCAAGCTCTCGACCCACAGCAGAAGATGCTGCAGATAGTGGCGGACCAGGGCCAGAGAGGAGAAGCACAGGGCGGCCAGGGCGCAGAGCAGCAGGAAGCTCTTGCACCAACAGGTGCCCAGGAGGCAGCAGTAGCGCCAGGTCCTCACCTCGGCGGCAGCGGGTCCGCCGCTGCAGCCGCTGTTACCGCTCCCTGGATAGGACCCGCCCGGGGCGGGCAGCTCCAAGTCCGACTGCAAACTGTTGCGCTCCTGGTAGGGGCTGAGAAGTGCGCCCGCCGCCCCGGCGCTCTCGCCGCCGCCTCCCCGAGGGAGCCGGTCCGCAGGCTCGCCGCCTCCCCCAGCCCTCGGAGGGCCCCAGCGTGTCAGCAGCTCCTGCCGCCGGCTCTGCAAAGCCGCGTACTTGAGGAGCTTGGGGAGCAACTGGAGCATGCTCCCGGCGGAGCTCCACATGCCGCTATCGGCGGCCGCCGCCCCCACCCACCCCACCCCTGAGAAATCCCGGCCTCTCAGCCCGCCAGCCCCTCCGCGACTCCCGGGGCCGTGAGGCAGAGGCGGCCGCTGCGGCGGCTCATGGTCGCCTCCTTCCGCGCCCCCCCTCCAGAATTCCTTCACCCTTCAGTCCCCCCCCACTTAGCAGAGACCAAGCCGAAAGCCGAGGACCGGAGCCACGGCCGCCACCGCGGCGTCAGACCAGCCCAGCGGGGAAACAAGGCAAAGTCCCGCCGCACCCCCGGCCCCCGACCGGGGCCAGTCCGCCCCCCAAGGGGGCGGGCAAAGAAAAAAGGGACGGGGCGCAGCGAGGCCCCGCCCCCGTGACGTCGCGTGCTGCCGACCCAGCTGAACCCGAGGGGTCGCGAGGGGAGAGGGTGAGAGGAGGGGTGGACCGGCTGAGGAACAGCCCCTGAGGGTAGCAGGCAGGGAGGGGGCCCAGCCGGAGAATCCCTACCCATCCCCCATCTCCCTCCTGGCTCGGGGAGAGACAGGGGAGTCGATGCGATTGGGTGGGAAGAGGTGAGGGGGGTAAATGGGGAAAGCTGGTCGTGCGCGCGCCCCCTCTCGCCGAACGCCTCGCTGCGGTGCGCGTGCGTACGTGTGCGCGTGCGCGGGGGGGGGGAGTTGGCGCCACCTGAGTGTGGGCCCAGGAGTGGGCCATGCGTCTCAGGCTTCTAACCTGCAGCCCTCGTGGAACTTGGCTTACAGAGCCCCCGGGCAAAGGGGCGCGGGTGTGGGTTGGCTACGCGCTGCCTTCATGGAAGGGAGGGGGGCGTCGCGTGGTCCCCGGACCAGGGAGCTTTGCGCGCTGCAAGACCGTTAACCCAAAAGTTTACGAGGGGGTGGGAAGGGGGCGGGGCTCCTGGGGGAAAGCAGTGCCACCTCACCTCCCTGATTTGTAAATGGCTTTGGGTGGGGGGGAGGGCAACAGTGGCTTTCGGCCCTGGAGGGGGGAGGGGTCACTCTCTGCCTGCAGACAACCCGAGCTCCCTGCTTCCCGGGGAGGTTGAGAGGAATGTAGAGTTTACCCAGCTGCCCCAAGCTGTGGTATTTCCCCAAGACTTTCTGTTCCCCATAAACAAACAGAGGAAGGCCCACAGTTCGGTCCAGGTGTCAATTATCTAGTTTGTGGATTTCCCAGGTTCTTTGTACTCTGGCTCTGACTTTCGGCTTTTTAAACTCTGTGATTACTTGTGGGCACTGGGTCAGGAAATGGAAATACATCGGTTTTACAAATGTTATTTCTGTTATTCAACAAAGGTCACAACTTTTCACGAAATAAAATTTTGGTAAATTGTAGGTATGATGGCTTAATGGGGAGAAGGGGATGTAAACAAGCTTTATTAAGCACCTGCTGTGTGCAAGGAACTGTGCGAAATACATTATAGGTATCTCGCTTAATCTTCACAACAACCCTGGTAGGTAGGTGCTATTATTATCCCCATTCTACAGTCGAAGAAATTGATGTATGGAGAGGTTTAAAGTGACTTGCTAGGGGAGTGACTGAGGCTGTCTTTGAACTCAATTCTCCCTGATTCCAGCCCCAGCCCGCTGTCCAATCATTGACCGGCAATAGTGACCCCAAAGGATTCGATGGTGAAACATGCCTTTAGAATCAGTATAAAGGTAATGGACGATATCCGGAAAATAAGGCATATGTTTACAGACACAGCCAATGTATTTATTTTGCTTGACTGTACTTGTTTAAACAAAGAGTTCTTTTAGGAGAGGGAAAACCATTAGGAAATGACAGATTTAAAAATATCAGTTATTAAAAAAACACAAAAACACTGGTTTGGAGCTGCAGAATTTGAAGGCACATCTGAGTTCATCTAGTACAACCCCTGTATGATTGAGAATTCCACAACATCCCAATAACTTTCATCCACTTTCTATTTGACTCTAGAATCAGGAAACTCAACTCATTTTAGGCTGTCCATTCCACTTTTGAACAATACAATTGTCAAGTTTCTCTTTTCATCCAGCCCAAATCAGTCTTTACAGTTTCCACCCATTTTTCTCAGTTGCCCCCTGGAGTGGAACCTTTACTGATGCTGGTCTCAGGTTTTTGTTTTATCTGTAGAATAGAGGTAATACTACTACTTCCTACCTTACAGTATTGTTGTTAGAAAAGTAGTACAAATGTAAGTCATTTTAGGAAGCTTACTATTTAAAGAAATGCCAGGGTAAATTGATATATTTTGTAAACGTGAGTTTGCTTGCAAAACATGTTACATATGTTAACCCATTTTTTTCCTCACAACAAGTATGAAGTAGGCACTATTATCATCCCCATTTTTCAAATAAAGAAACTGAGGCACAGAGAGGTTAAGTGACTTACCCAGTCACAGGAGTTTACCAAGGCCTACACTCTATCCATTTCGACTCCCAGCTCCCTAATGCTGGTTACATATGTTTTTGATAAAAGTTGCATTGGAAGCAAATATTAAAGTTCATTAGGAAAACAGATTAGGGATTAGTTTTGGAAATTCTGTCCCACATCTTTTCCTAGTATTCTGTGAAATACCTTCACCATACTCAATTACTTATCTATATATAAATATAGGTGTATTCTTTGGATTTAGGAGACTGTTATAGAAATCAACATCTTTAATCACATTTACAGAAACTTTAAACTTTCCAAGAAAAAATAAGCTATAAAATAAAAAGATGCTCTTTCAAATAAAGGGCCCTGAAAGGCTAATTCTGCATGCCTGCAATCCAACTACCATGTTTAGGGAGAAGGGAGAAGCCCATGTAAGTAAAGAATTACAAAAGGATAGTGCTGAGTTTCCTGTGATCATTGAATCTGTAAGCAGGATGTAAACATCCCCTTTCCTTGAAAGTAAATCATTTAAGTAGAAAGATTCAATTTATTTTGTAGAACACAAGTGCTTTGTATTTGCAACTGGTTATTGACATTGAAATTAGTATGCCTGCACTATTTGTGAAATTGCTAATCAAGTTTCATCTTTAAACTGTACCTAAATGATGCCTGTTCAGCTTAACCATTTATTTATTCATTCAATAGGCATCTATTATGTATAGTACACTCTGCTAGGCTGTATGTAGCATACAAAGTATTGTGGGAAGACCCCCTTCTTAGTCGAAGACCTGGGTTCTGGTCCAGACTTGATCTCTTGCAACTGTAACCCCAGTCCCAAAGCTCATTAGTATGGAACTCTCCCCTCTTTGGTGATGAATCCTCTGTCCTGTGTGAGTAAAGTTAAAGTGAACTAGATGAAGACCTAATAAAACTGAATCCCATACCAATGGACTTTGAGAATGGGGTTGCACTACTATGTGTTCTTGGGCAAGTCTGGGCCAGTTTCTTATCTGTAAATGGCAATTGAGATCTAAAACTCCATCCATCTCTAAAATTCTATCTATAGTGTTCTACCTGCCTTTAAGACCATTCAGTAAGAGAAGAAACCTCTTCAGGCTGGAAACTCACTATAGCACTGGAATTAACACAATGGAAATATCAAAATCTGTCCCCCTCTTGCCTTTCCAGGCTTCTTATACTTTATTCCCCTCCACACACTATCCAGTGTCACTTTTTTTTCTGGTAAAGTACTTTTTAATATTAATTTATTTTGATTTATCAACAGTCACTTCCATATGCATTTGAGTTTAAAATATTTCTCCCCCTTCCTCCCTACCACCCTCCCCAAGACAGTGTACAATCTGATACAGGCTGTACATATACATTCCTATTAAACATATTTTCACAGTAGTGATGTTATAAGTAAGAATTAGAACCGATAGGAGGAACCACCAGAAAGAGGAAACAAAACTCAACAGAAGAAAAAAAATAGCAAATAGTATGCTTCTGATCTGCTTTCAAACTCCATAATTCTTTCTTTGGATGTGGATAGCATTTTCCCTCCTGAGGCCTTTGGAGATGCCTTAGATCCTTGTATTGCTGGGAAGGGTTAAGTTTATCAATATTACTCATCTCACAATGTGGCTATTATTGTGGACAACGTTCTCTTGGTTCTGCTCACTTCACTCAGCATCAGACCGTACAAGTCTTTCCAGGTTTTTCTGAAGTCAGCCTGTTCATCATTTTTATAGCACAATACTATTCCATTATATTCATATACCACAACTTGTTCAGCCATTCCCCAATTGATGGGCATCCTCTCAATTTCTAATTCTTTGCCACCACAAAAAGAGCCGCTATAAATATTTTTTGTACATGTGGGTCCTTTTCCCATTTGTATGATCTCTTTGAGATACAGCCCTAGAAGTGCTATTGCTGGATCAAAGGGTATGCACATTTTTATAGCCCTTTGGGCATAGTTCCAAATTGCTCTCCAAAATGGTTGGATCATTTCACAACTCCACTAACGATGCATTACTATCCCAATTTTGCCACATTTTCTCCAGCATTTATCATTTTCTTGTTTTCTCATCTTGGCCAGTCTGATAGGTATGATACCTCAGAGTTGTTTTGATTTGTATTTATCTAATCAATAGTGATCTAGAGCATTTTTTCATATGACTATAGATGGCTTTCATTTCTTTATCTGAGAACTGCCTGTTCATATCCTTTGACCATTTATCAGTTAGGGAATGACTTGTATTCTTATAAATTTGACTTAATTCCCTATGTATTTTAGAAATAAGACACTTATCAGAGAGACTGGTTGAAAAAATTCCCAATTTTCTACCTTTGTTCTAATCTTAGTTGCATTGACTTTGTGCAAAAACTTTTCAATTTAATGTAATCAAAGTTATCCATTTTGCTTTTTGTAATGTTTTCTATCTCCTGTTTGGTCATGAATTCTTCTGTTCTCCATAAATCTGATGGGTAAACTATTCCTTGCTCTCCCAGTTTTGCTTATAGTATCAGCCTTTATATCTAAGTCATGAACCCATTTTGACTTTATTTTGGTATATGGTGTGAGATTTTGATCAATGCCTAGTTTCTGCCATACTCTTTTCCAGGTTTCCCAGCAGTTTTTTTCAAAGAGTGGGATCTTGTCCCAGAAGCTGG